AAAAGTAAATTTTGCATTTCATTTGGAAATCAAGGTCCGGAGTCTGGAGGAAGACTGGAGAGGCACAGAATCCAAGCTGCTTGAAGTCCAATGTGAAGTTTCCGAAGCCAGTGATGATTTGGGGTGCCGTGTCGTCTGCTGGTGTTGGTCCATTGTGTTTCATCAAGTCCAAAGTCAATGCAGCTGTCAACCAGGAGATTTTGGAGCACTTTATGCTTCCATCTGCTGACAAGCTTTATGGAGATGCTGATTTCCTTTTCCAGCAGGACTTTAGCACATGCCCACAGTTCCAAAACCACTTCCAAGTGGTTTGCTGCCCATGATATTACTGTGCTTGATTGGCCAGCCAACATGCCTGACCTGAACCCCATATGGGAAGGCTCAATAGTGCCTCAGCAGTGCCACAGGCTGATCGCTTCATGCCACACCTCACTGATGCTGTCATTTGTGCTAAAGGAGCTCCGACCAAGTATATGCATGAATGAACACACTTTAAAGAACTTGAAGTTTTCTGTTTTGCTAATCCTTTTTTTTTATTGATCTTAGGAAATATACTGAGATACTGGATTTTTGACTTTCATGAGCTGTAAGCTCTAATCATCAAAATTAAACATGCCCACAGTTCCAAAACCACTTCCAAGTGGTTTGCTGCCCATGATATTACTGTGCTTGATTGGCCAGCCAACATGCCTAACCTGAACCCCATATGGAATCTATGGGATATTTTCAAGAGAAAGATGAGAAACAGACGAGCTGAAGGCTCAATAGTGCCTCAGCAGTGCCACAGGCTGATCGCTTCATGCCACACCTCACTGATGCTGTCATTTGTGCTAAAGGAGCTCCGACCAAGTATATGCATGAATGAACACACTTTAAAGAACTTGAAGTTTTCTGTTTTGCTAATCCTTTTTTTTGATTGATCTTAGGAAATATACTGAGATACTGGATTTTTGACTTTCATGAGCTGTAAGATCTAATCATCAAAATTAAAACAAAAACAAAAACTTTTGAAATGTTTTACTTTACACGTAATGAATCTAGAATATATGCAAGTTTCACTTTTTGAAATAAGTTACAAAAAAAAGTAACTTTTTCACGATATTCTAATTTTTTGAGATGCACCTGTATATACCTTAGAAAAATAGACTGAGTTTAATTAAAAATTTTCTTTCAAATAAGAAAATATTTCATGTCCACCAAAATTCTATTAACTCTGTTAATAACAAAACACCTCCCTGAACTAAAAAATGGTTTACATTTACATTTAGTCATTTAGCAGACGCTTTTATCCAAAGCGACTTACAAATGGTTTATCATAAAATTGAAAACATTAATTTTATTAAAAAATGAAAATCAAAAACAAAAATAACCAAATGAATCATGATGATGCTCTTTAATCCTCAACAGAAATTCGGCAGCAGGAGGATGGGATACAGGAGCTAGAAAAGACCCTCCTGAAGCTCCGTCAGGATCAGAAAGGTAGTCTTCATGTGTTGGTACACTGCGTTAGATTACCAGGTTCATCTTGTTTGCGTTGCCTGATTGTGTGACTGTGATGTGTGTCGTGTTCAGAGTCGGTGTTGCGATTCTCTGTGGTGTGGAACACTAATTCCCGCAGCTGTCTGGACGCTCAGGCCGTCCTGCAGGTGCTGCTCACACACCTGAGCCCAGAGGAAATCCTGCAGTATCAGGGCACTCGTACCCATCTCGAGGGCCTCATACCGTACACAGGTGGGTTACTGTTTTCATTCCAAATCAGTTCACCCATGATAAACATAATAAATTGGTCTTTTTGAAGGTGAGCATCTGCATAAACAAACATTTAGAGTTTCTAGCAATTGCATTGAAAATGGCAATATAAATATGATTGTTTCTCATTTGTAGAGAGACATATGCAGCGGATTGGTCGTCTCCTGCAGGCCTCAATGTTTCTGGATTACATGTGGCAGAAAATGCGTATTACGGGTGGTAAAGACAGGTAAAAAAAAACAAGTTCCCAAAACTTCCTGGTTGTGTATTCATTAAAGGGGTCATATGATGCTTTTTTAAAGATCATTATTTTGTGTATTTGGTGTAACAGAATATGTTGACATGCTTTAATGTTCAAAAAACACATTATTTTTCAAATACTGTACATTATTGTAGGTCCTCTATGCCCCGCCTCTCTCAAACGCTTCGTTTTCTACAAAGCCCCCTCCTTACTTTCCCTGGCTATTGTCATCATCGGCTTGCTTCACTTTGGAGTATGTAAGGTATTATAGCGAGTTTCTACGAGTTTCTACAATTGTTGACACTTTTCCTGTGAACATTTAGAAAAATTAATAATGCCCAAAGTTAAAATATATGGTTTCAATTGAACACTTTTATTAACTCAGCTAGTCTAGTAAGTAACCAAAGTATGCAACATGTTTTTGAAATCTGAATGAAACGCATGCAAACAATATGATTTATGCACTAAATCAGTCGAAGGTCTTGTACAATCTGCATGTTTTTGAACGGTTAGGACAGACGTTAAAACCTGTGCCTCACAGCCATCGGCTGACGTCTGGCGTCACTCATTGCCAGTGGACACGCACCATTAGTATTAATAAAAATCAACCCTTGAGACGTGAAAGTGCCCAAACATCCAGGTAGTGTGAAAAACGTAAGTTTTATGGCAAGACACATGTGGTGGGTGTTCTCAAATTTTTAAATTTAGGCATCTTTACATATCACATGCAATATATTTTAGTGAATGATGATATGTTTTAAACTAACAAACAAAAGTGTTCTCTTTAATTTTTTTTTTTGTTAAGAGCGTTTTCTTTGGTAATCAACAATGTCACCGTCCACAGAACTTGTACTGATCCCAGAACATTCCTTTATTATCTGACTCTTAGAGCATCACAGAACTTCTAGCACTGTTCAAACAACATTTCCAAAAACATGCTCTTACTATAATAGTGTGTATTCAGTCCTTCCTTTTAATGATACTGTGGCTTTTTAGCTGCTTTGGTTTTCCTAAAATGTTCAGTATCTTGTGCAAGCAGTGAGTCATGTCTGCTTTAAAAAGTATTGAATGTTGGACATCTGAGATTGCCGTCAGTGTTAAATACACCGAACGCATCTGTGATGCACAGCTTGAGTTGAAAGAATGTGGAGTGTGTACAAAACACTCGTTTTTCACCCGAATACCTTGGTGTCGCTAATGCCAAACCATACTCTTTCAGATAAAGGAATAAATCAGCTGGTTAAGTTGGGATTGATTGAGTTGGAGCTAATGGTGCGTTCAAGTCATGTCGGATAGATCGTATTTACGAGTTAAACGCACATGAACGCCACCACAAAGTCGTTATTACGAGTGGGAAACTCGAAATTTTCTTTAAGCCCCGAGTTTCCGAGTTGGGGCGCGTCAATGAGAAACATGGCGGAATCAATGGATCTTGTGTTGTCTGTAGTTGACGGTAAATTTTTGTTTAAATTGATAGTTTAATTGGTCATGTTCTTATGACTTGGATGTTGGTCCTTAAAGAACTGATCTGGCCCTAACCTGTATTTTAGATATTTTCGGCACATGATATGCTTCTTTAACAATCCATTTGCAGGAATGAACACTCCAGTAATGCCAGTCTTTCGGTTAAATATTTTATTTGATGTTTACAGGCACTCAACATGGGGGAAAATATGCAACAAGTCAACTCTGAAGAGTATACAGTGTTCAAGTATAATAGGATATACAATGCATACAAGGCACAAGTGATATTTTCCACTATGGAAAAAGAGGGAAAACTAAGAAAGATACACATCTTGGATACATATTCTGTAGAAGATTCTAAAAGATTTCTAAGCTGTCGATCGTTATCTTTTCTTCAGTTAAAGAGAATCTACATTTATCAGATCCAAAGAGCAGCTTCTCTAGAAACATGTAGACCCATCATTTGTAACATATGTAATAATTCAGTTCCAAGAATAAGATCTAAACTTGGTTCTAGTAGTATAAATGTGTAGTAAGAATCTCCATAATTTGTCCATCTAATAATCACAGTAGCATCAAGCAAGAGTTACGGCAGTGGAATATAAATGTGTAGTAAGAATCTCTCCATAATTTGTCCATCTAATAATCACAGTAGCATCAAGCAAGAGTTACGGCAGTGGACATTAATGCTTGTCTGGACCTGGACTCTTGGATGCTCTCCTCAAACATGTAACCTGAAGTGCTTGAGACATCGGCCTAACTGGTTCTCTGCAGGTTTTTGCATGTGACGGTGGTGCAGCGTTTGAGTATCTCCTGAGCTTGGGGTCTGGGTGGTATCTTGGGGGTGGAGGGCATCTTGTTGAGACTGGGGTCTGATCTGCTGCCGATCATCTTGCCGCCTTCGGCACTTTCAGGTCTCAGGCTGCCAGAGGAGTCAAGCGTAGGGGTGCGACTCCTGCGTAATTGCTCTTCCGTGTCCGAGCGATTTAGCGATTTACCGGAGAAACTGCTGTCGTCGCTGAACTCATCGCTGTCGTCACTCAGACTGCTTTGCTGGCCGTTCTCGACAAACTCCACTCGGACTGATGGTGGAGTCAGCCGTGTTGTATGAGCATCTGGCAGTCTACTCATTGATCGTGACATCTGCTTATCTTTAGGGTCCAGGGTGCTTCCTGGAGGTCCCAGGTTGCCCTGGGATCTGCTGAGCTCACGGCTGGAGACCTGCGGGAAATTTTCTCCAGGACGTTGAAGCTGTGCCAAGTCAAGAGTGGAGCTGGTTATCTCCCTCTTAGCAGGCATCAGGTGCATTCGTGGGTTATTGTATGGTTGCAGGTACATAGATGGTACGAATCCCGCCTTTCGATTGTGCCTGAGAGATAGACAAAGACAGCTCTCAATCGTAGCAAAAGTAGCATTAGAGCTTGTATAAAATCAATGGGTAATTTGGTTTCATTCTTTGGAAGTCAACAAGGAAGAAGCATCATCTGCACAAACTGCCAAAACGAGTCCACAAAAATGAGGATATAAAGCAAGTGCCAAGTTTGTTTCCAGACTCTACTGCACGTCAAATGAGCAGGTAAAAGTTTCCTGCCCGTTAGATTACTGGTGTGTATTTCATCTGCTCATTTTCGTCAGTAAACGATATGGAGGTTTACCTCTATCCACCAGCCGTTGTCAGACTTCTGTAACACCTCCACCACAGACCCGATCTCCACTGATAGTTCATCACTGTTCATGGCTTTGTAACTTTTGGCGGCAACATAGAAAACACCTGATGAATGGAAAAATAAGATCCAGTTAAGAACAACTTGGTGAACAGATGAATCAATTCTTACTATACATCAGCATGCGTTTCAAGTCCTGCTCCTGAAGGGCAACTCCAATCCTAATCAAACACACCAGGACCAGGAAATCAAGGTCTTCAGGATTACTAAAAACGTCCAGGCAAGTGTGTTGGGACTTTGCAGGACACTAGCCCTCCAGGAGCAGTATTAGACACCCATGTACAAGGGTTATTATTTTGTAAACTGCTACTTTTGCTACAGCTACCTAAATTCATTCATTTTCAAAGTTAGTGGAATAAGCATAATTAGGTTGGTTTCCAAAAGAAGGCTGATTCAAGACACAAGAATGTCAAACATTCACAGTGTGGCCAAACTGGTTTTGTTTCCAAATAAATTCAGAATGCATTAGAAACCGCTAAACCGGTACTTACTTCCGCCATCCATCACATCAGGACCATCATCATCCATCTCAGCTCTCTGCAGATACGGAGCAGGAAACCAAGCGAGATGTTTGGCTTCATTTTCCACCAGCCACCATCCTGATTAGAAAGTACAACAAGGTCAACAAACACCGAAGAGAGACTTCTGTGCTTCTGTGTAGTTTGGCAAACGATGAGTTCTCACCTTTTTGGTCTTTAATGAGCACATCCACAATCTCATCCACCTCAACCTTGAAGGGCCGGTTCTTGGTGTCCTTGGTCTCATAAGTAGCTATGCATCGGTATGTTTCAGTAACAAAGGGTTGAGTAACGTTCATTCCAACATTACCGCTGCTCAGAGAGGTTTCTGATGGCATGATCACGATACTGTCGAACAAAACACAATCTTTAATTAGGCTCTGTTTCAGAGACTTCATGTAGTTTTGAAAGTTCTAGCATGTATTTATTATTTTCTGCTCTGCTTGTCTTGGCAGCATCAACCTTACCTGTTTTTTGCAAAGTCAGAATCGAGGTCCTGCGGTTTGGGAAGCAGGAACTGGATGAGCTCTGAGCTCTGGCAGAAACGGGGATCGCTCTTCAGCAGTTCACTGCAGTATTCTTCCAGAGCCTTCAGTCTGAGCACTGACTTATTGGGGCTCCACTTCTGCATGTTCTTCTGCACTCTTGCAGCTGCAAATGGTTTTTTTTTTTCATTACTTCATGATGAGGGCTTGAATTTGCACATTGTTTGATGAACAACTGGCAAAGTATTTACCTTTAAATTTGGGAACAATCCTTTCTGACCTTCTAATGGGTTTTGAAGGAGGGAATTTCTTCTTGAGTTGTCTCTACACGAATATGCATATAGATGTTATTCTACTTGACACTCTCTCTCTCTCTCCCTCTGTATATATATATATATATATGTATATATATATGTATATGTATATGTGACACTGGAGCACAAAAGCAGTCTTAAGTTGCTGGGGTATATTTGTAGCAATTTGACTTTTATGACTGGTTTTGTGGTCCAGGGTCTCACACACAAACACACTCACACACACACATATACACACATACATACACATACACACACACATATATATATATAAATGAAGAAAAAGACTTACATGCAGCGTCTTGAAGTCTTCAAGCGATCTGTACACCGTAATCTCATTTTGATCTGACCAGAGTACAGTGGTCATGTACAACTGGGAAGAGAAGAATGTATTAGACACATTTCAATACTTCTTTTTAATTACATTACAGTCTTCATGTTATTGTGTATATAGTTAACTAGCCTATGTTCAGAGCAGTGTTAATGAACCACTGTACATACAGGAGTGTTTTCTTGTTTCTATCCGTCCTGACCCTTAAAAATGAGTTACCAAATTTAAAAAACTCGTGATAATATTCTGTTATTCTATTATTTATAGAATAAAGTTAACTGTTACCACATAAAGCACATTTTAGGTTATTTGACGAAAATGTTTTACACTGTTTGTATTATTTTTAATAATTAATTAATTTAAATTTTTTTAAATTTAATTTTAATTTATTTTTATTTATTATTAAATTAATTAATTAAAATGTAATTTTGCGTTACGAAGCTGTTTGTAATATCACACTATTATGTAATTATTATTATAGTATTTATATATAGTAATAAATCGATTAATTATACTAATGCCGATCAATTATAATAATATGTAGGCTATTGTCAGTAAAAATTGTAATACGTTGATACCCATTGACACTGACAAACATCATAATCTTATTCAAAACAACGGTAGCCTATATTAAAATGTTATTTATTTTACTGCGTCCTTGTTACAAGTTACATGTAGGCTACTTACTATTATAATAACAATAAATTAGGCTATGTAGGCTATAACTAACCCTAAACCAAATCCTCATCCTAACTAACCAGTAAGTAGCTGGTACATTTAGTTTAATATTACTCAGATGTGACTTAAATGTATAACTGCACTGTAACAAGGACACCTTAAAATAAAGTGTAACCTGTAATAAAAAAAATTTAAAAAACGAATGCAAAATGTCAAAATAAAAAATGTGTCTTACTTTAGCTACTTCTTTCTGCATCACTCCAACAAGCTGAATATTGACGGGGTGTCTTTGCTCGCCCATGCTGCAGGAGATGAGTCGTGTTGTCTGTTGTTTGACTGAGCGCTCTTCTGCTGCGCGCGTTATATATTTATCACGCCTCCAGCCAGAGGCGGGGACCGCGTCGTGCCGCATCCAGCTCCCGCTGCAATTTCACAAACTGGAGAGTCCGCTCTTACCTCATCATTATTCCTTGAAAAAGCCTGGATGGAATATCATGTGAGTGTCGATCAATCGATAGAGGTTTTTTGTTTAAGTTTTTATACTGTTCAGTTGTGATTATGAACCACTTCATGCAGGAGCGTAGCCATCATTTCAGAAGTGAGGGGGACAGAAATGTTATATATATATATATATATATAAACGTCCCCTGCGTAATCTAGGCCCCTGACTTCATGTGATGTGACAACATGCCCCGCTATTGTCAAGATTGTGTTCGTGTTCATAACTATATGTTCTTGTACAATAATTCTGAAGAAACAAAACACAACCTAGTTGTAGGTTAGTCAACCTGTACATATTCTCACATATAGCCTATCAAAGAACTAATAATTTCATTCTACCATTGTACCACAATAATTAAAGGGTTGGATTGATATATTTTGGGATATTTTTATTTTTGTATGTACATAAACAACCATTTTGATTATTGATATTGCACATATTTAATAAATTAATTAATATTATTAAAATAATATTATTTAAATTTAATAAATAAATACAAACTCAGTTAAAACATTGTAAAAATGTTTATTTCATATACTATATCTGTTACTAAAGTGATAGTTCACCCTAAAATGAAGATTCATCATGCTGATATGAATTTATTTATTCTGTTGAATGCAAAAGAAGATATTTTGCTGGTAGCCATTGACTTAAAAAAATACAATGGCTACCATCAACTGTTTGGTTACCAACACTCTTTAAAGTATCTTTTTCTGTGTGTTCAACAAAAGAAATAAATGCATACAGGTTTGGAACAACTCGAGAACAACTCAAAATTTCAATTTTTGGCTGAACTATACCTTTAAGACTCACCTTTATTAATGCAACTGCAAATTGTAGAAACTTGTAACAAACAGCAGCAAAGGCCTGATGTTTAGTTGAAATTGGTGATGGTGAATGAAATCCATGATTTTCTCTAAATGAGTGGTAGTGAAAGGGAAATGAAAGTTCTTAAATTTGACTTATATGTTGCAATCAGCCATAGTGGGAAATGGAAATATGCTAAAATTAGTCTACAGTATGTTATGTTGTAGTAGTCTAGACCAGAAACGACTAATGATTAGGATACATAGAAAAAAAATGAGTTAGTATTACTTAGTACTTGTAGCCCTTCACATCAATGCACGTGCGCGTCATAAAACTGTGCTGACATATTCATAAATCAATGGATTATGTGCTGATGTGCACGTAATACAGCCATAAACCCAGACATTCCAGGAAATAGAAGATAAAAAAAATAAATGATTCCTGTTGGGTTATAAGAAGCTTCAAGGAAATAGACGTAGGCAGGGTTTCCTCTCAGATGTGTGTCCAACCTACATTTGAAGCAGACACCTTTGTTTATTGTATCACGTTTTCAAACTTAACAACACTGGCTGTATTAAACAGCACTGACTAACTCACTGAAAAAACCCATCATTAAAATACCAGATGCAGATTTTACATAACATATGCATATAGGTTTCGCTGTGCTAATCTTGTTTAGTGTGAATGTGATTATGTGATTATGAATGTGAATGTGATTATGAATGTATTTTGGTATATAATTGATCATATTAGGGTTAGCAAAATCCCTAATCACACATGGTTTGTTCTAAAGACATACTGTAATTTACACATCATATTATTTCCATCACAGAAGTTTTGCAAGAAAATGCAAAAGCATTGAAATATAATTTTCCCTCTCATTGCATTTTTTATATCACTGTGTCTATTTAGAGACTCCACAGTATAATGATGTACAATGAGCAATATTTTTAACTGATAGAAACAGTTGTTTGTTGCTATTTAATATTGAATGAACTAATGCGAAGATATACAACTTAATATTATGTTCAACAAAGATGAACAAATTATATAATTCATATTAATTTGAACCAATGTGGTTAACTGTAATCTTACTGTAGTGGTTTCTATTGTTATGTGGTAATATTATTTCCTTCATGTTCACGTTGTTACAAATACTTAAAGACAGAGATTACGTGTAATGTTAAATATACTGTATTGCATTATGTGGAATTCTAAATAATTAATACAAAGCCTCGGAACAATGGAAACATGCATTTCTCTATGTGAAAACCAATAAGATGTTTAAATAAAACTACTAAAATACTAAATAATAATAAATAATAAAAAAGTATGAACAGCTCAACTTTATACCAGTGTTATTTTAGTATCACTATTATAGTTTTTGGTAATATTTTAAATTAAGATTTTGTTTTTGTAGTTTCTGTTTTAATTTTAAAGTTTTAGGAATATTGTTGTGTGTCTTTGTCAGTTGTTTATTATTATTAATATTAATATGGACGTTTTTTATTAAGTTTTCGTTTGAGCTTATTTAGATTTAGTTGTTTCAGTCCTTCAACTTTAAACAAAAATGTGAAATGTTGCCTTGGCAACTAGCTGAAATAAAAAAAAAAAGTAAAGTCAAATTCTATATAATTTAATGTCTGTTGTATTTCAAGTAATGAAAATGTTTTTTATGGATTTGGTTTTATTGATATTTAACAATAATAACCCTGCTATATACAACAAATAATCAACTTAAAGACATACCTTACAAAATCACAGACCATTCATATAACAATAAACCGTTTATATACATAATACAAAGCATACAAAGCCCATTACAACACAGAATCTGAAACGCACTCGAACGGACTAGAAAAAAAATTCTATACAATACACTGTGGCAACAAATTCAAGCTCATTTTATTCTCAGAAATAAAATTAGAAATATTTTAGCAGATAAACACACTGGAACCACATGCAAACAAAGAACCTTTATTTCAAGAGTGTTCCTGTTTTACTTTCCATCCTCATTACATGCCAACTTTGGTGATTATACTCTTTTACTGTATTTCTCAATTTCCTGGAAACAACCCACAGCACCCTTAGATGGGCGTTTTCGCATTTTCTTAGAACGCAAATATAAAAATCGAGTATGCACATTTTTCTTGTATCTTGGGCTTCTAAACTCCTGAGAGATCAGAAACTCATAATACATTCATCATAAGACAGTAGTGAAAGGCTTCAACCATTCAACCGGATCATGATGCTATATATCATTTAGATTTACAGTGTGATCCGAATGGTTGAAGCCTTTCCACTATTGCGTATTTTCTGAAGTCCATGCCGTGTGAAGCAGGTGAATGTGGCTAGCTATACTAACACCACAGACAACGATAACAGAGTTTCTCAGAGATATGGACATCGAACAGAGCTGGACCGTTTGTGTATTTGTGATTCAAAGTCTGCGTGAATTTCCACCCCACGCTTTATCTTTTAGCTCTTTGATTTGAGCAGCTTTTGAAACTGTGGCCTCTGTTAAATGTTTCAATCATTTGAAGTCACATTAATAATGAACAGCGTCCAGCGGACAACATATTTTCATTTTTGACATTACATTTCTAATGCATGATGCACAGACTTTTATGGAAGCCCGTTTCTGCCACTGAATAATAAAAAAAAGATAATTGCGACTTTTTATCTCACAATTCTGACTTTTTTTCTCGCAATTGAGAGTTTATATCTCGCAGTTCTGACTTTATTTCTCAGAATTGCGAGTTTATATCTCACAATTCTGAGAAAAAAAAGTCAGAATTGCGAGATATAAAGTCACAATTGCGAGATAAAAACTCGCAATTTTGACTTTTTTTCTCGCAATTGAGAGTTTATATCTCGCAATTCTGACTTTTTTTTCTCAGAATTGTGAGATATAAACTCGCAATTGCGAGTTAAAGTCCAATTTTGAGGGGGGAAAAAAGACTGATATGTTCTCAGAATTGCGAGTTTATATCTCACAATTCTGA